GGGGATTCACTGGCTGGCTGGAGCGGCATCTAATACCCAACTCGCAAAATAAAACCAACTAAAAACAAAACAACAAACACGAAAACACCATGATTATAATTTGCACCGATGTTTTTTTGAAATTCTATACGCGAAAAGTGAGCGTGAGAGCCCTCGGTGCGCCTGCTCGCTGCTGAAGTCAAAGTAAACTTTATTGTTATCTCTGATACATACAGTCCAGTACATAGAGAGACGAGACGACAAGCCTCCAGTTACAGCAGTGCAAGTAACCCGCTGAAAGGGGAGGGGGACATGCTGCTTCCAAATAGAGCAGATTTCATTCATAATGATGTAAATCCAACACCATTATGTATTCATGATTTGAACCCTGGGTTGTGTGAAATCCCAGAAATAAACCTTAGCCAAAGTGAATCTGTGAACTAAAGTGTAGGTCTATTAGGTCAAGTTGTGGTGATCCTCGAGTTGGGGGATTTGTGTTCACACTATAGTGCAAAATTAAAGATTTTTCTTTTTTTCTGACAGTACTTTTCTGTGTTCATAATTCCATCTACCTCAGGCCTCCAACATGTTTTACCGATGGCTGCAGACACTCACTGTTGTACCTCTTTGCTGACCACCGCCATACAACCTAACCATTCTTTTTTCTTAGTTTATTCATTAATATAAAATGATCAATTGTATCAAACGCCTTCTTTAAGTCTATAAAAACACCAACAGTATATTCCTTATTATCTATTGCATTAGATATCCCTTCTACAAGTTCCATCACTGCCATCGAAGTGGACCTTTTCGCTCTAAAGCCATATTGGTTATCACTTAGATTATGCTTCTCAATATATTTATCAAGTCTATTAACAAATAACTTTCCTAAAATTTTTGAGAACTGTGGGAGTAGTGATATTGGCCTGTAATTGGTAAACTGACATCTCTCTCCATTTTTATGGATTGGAATAACTTTTGCTATTTTCACTTGTGAGGGAAACACACCAGTTCGAAAGGACAGATTACAAATGTATGCGAAAGGTTGCACTATATATTCTATAATACTTTTAACTAACATCATGTCAATACCAAAACAGTCAGTGGACTTTTTATTTTTAAATGTCTTCACAATGTTAATTATTTCTCTATGAGTTACAGCACCAATAAACATGGAGGACACATTCTGAGTAATATGTTTATTTAGGTCGTTATTATTTCTTGACTCTGAAATTTCTTTTGCTAAATTAAAGTCAACATTTACAAAGAAATCATTAAATTCATTTGCAATGTCTTTAGTTTTATCAAGCACAATATCTTTATCTTTTTTGAAATAGTCTGGATAATTCTTATTTTTTGAGCCCTTTTTGATTATACTATTTAATATCCTCCATGTTTCTTGTGTGTTACTTCTACTACCTGAGCTACAGCCACCCCTGGCTGTAACTCAGGTGGCAGAGCAGGTCAGCCACTAATCAGAAGGTCGGTGGTTCGATCCCTGGCTGCATGCCAAATGTCCTTGGGCAAGATACTAACCCCGTGTTTGCCTACTGGTGGTGGTGGTCAGAGGGCCCGGTGGCGCCTGTGTTCGGCAGCCTCGCCTCTGTCAGTGCGCCCCAGGGCAGCTGTGGCTACAATGTAGCTTGCTATCGCCAGTGTGTGAATGTGTGTGTGAATGACTGAATGTAGTGTAAAGCGCTTTGGGGTCCTATGGACTAGAAAAGCGCTATACAAATGCAGGCCATTTACCATTTTACTTTGCTCCAATAATTTTTGGTAATATTCTTTCTTACTTGTTCTTATAATATTTACTAATCTATTTTTATATAACTTGCACTTCATTTCAGCATCTTTTGTCCTCTGTTTTATGAATCTCCTATATAGATTATTATTTTTTTTTTTTACATGCATCTTCTATCCCCTTTGTGATCCATGGCTTATTTGATCTGTGATGCTTTCTAGTGATTTTCATTAAAGGACAATGTTTTTCATATAGTGAAACTACAGTTGATAGGAATGCATCATATGCACTATTTAATCTTCATTTGCAAAAACCTCATTCCAATTGCGTTCTTTTAAGTCCACCTGGAGGGCAGCAATGGCTCTTGTTGTTCTATGTCATATCATATCAAATGTTTGATTGTTTTGTTTGTAGTTTTAATCCCAAAATAATTTTGAAAAATTGCAAAAACAGGAAGATGATCGCTTATATCAGTTATAAGAAGTCCACCTACTATTTCATAGTCAATTTTACTTGTGAATATATTATCTATCAATGTAGCTGTATCAATTGCTATTCTACTTGGTTTTATAATTACAGGGAAAGGGGAATTACTCTACATTGTATTAATGAAATCTGTTGTTTTCTGATGTCCATTTGGGTTTAGCAAATCTATATTAAAATCACCACAAATTATTTGCACTTTATCATTTAGGTTGCTAAACATGGCAGCAAGTTTTTCATTGAATGTCTCGAGGCATGATCCTGGTGTCCTATAGATGCAACTTATAATTATATTGTTAGCTTTTTCAACATGGATTTCAATAGTAACACATTCCAATACGTCATCTATGGTGCTTGACATACATTCAATCAGACTACATTTCAAAACTTTATCTACATTTAAAGCAACACCGCCTCCTTTTTTATTCACTCTGTTCATTGTAAATAATTCATATCCTCCCAGTCCCATTTCACTAACTTTCTCATTATCGAGCCATGTTTCTGATATTGCAATTATATTAAAAATTTTTAACTTACTTAAACATTCTGTAATTTTAGAAAATATTTTATACAGGCTTCTACTATTGAAATGTATGACCAACAATGCATTTGCCATTTTAATATTCCTATTGAATTGGTCGTCTGTATAGTACTCACAAGTATTATTGGTGTTATTGTAGAAGTGGTTATCTGGGTCAATGTTACTTTCAGGGTCATGCATGTTGTGCTCTGCATAGTTGAAACGTTTTGAAGTTTTTTTTCTCAGTGTGTGTCACAAAATAACCTCCTTGACAGTCCTTTTTATAATCAAAGTCTTCCTCTTCAATATCTTTGAATGGAAACCTATAATCTGTGTCCAAACTTGACATTTATGTGTTTTTTGTTTTTGTTGTTGTTTTTTCTATTGTTTTTTGAGCCGTAAGGCCAGAAACACTTTCCATTCCTGATTATGTATATTGCTCTAAGTCTTTGAGTTCTCTTATCATCACAACTTTCGCTTCTTTGGGATTGCCATTTAGTCTTATCATTACTTTGCAGTTCCTCGTCCATGTCGCTTATATCTTATTTTGTTTTTTCAGGCTGCATGCCTGTCTTGCAATTTCAGCAGTCTTTTTCGTTAAATGTGCATTTAAATACACACCGGTCCATTTCAGCTTCTTTCCCTGTTTCAGTAACTCAATCTTTGTTTTGCGACTCGCAAACCGAAGAATAATTGCTGGCTTTGTTTTACTGTCTTTTCTGGGGAGTGTGTGGCATGCTGCGATATGATGGCTCTGAATACTTACATTCTTCGTTTGAAGGAATTTTATCACTTGCTTTTCAAGTATTTGCAGCTCCTCTACCGGGGCATCTTCACCGTCTTTACCTCCGCCAGCTGTTCTCTGCTGTTCGGTGTTGCGTCTCCAGTCCACTTATGACTAAATCATCCATTCTTGTGTATTGTTCAAGGTCATCGATTCGCCGTTCCAAGTCGTCTATTTTCTTGTCCTTCTCCTTTATCATGTTTTTTAGTTGTTTTATTTCATCCATTAGGTCATGTAGCATACCTTGTTGTTTAGCCACTTTGCTCAGTTCATCAGACATGAAATTAAGTGATTTCTTAATCTCCTCCAACTCCTCTTCAACTCCTGGGTTTGCTTTTTTAGGCGGCATTCTGAAAATGGTGAGATTGGTATTACCTTGTGATGGCCCGTTGAAGTCACTGTCGATTTACTTGTTGGTGCCTTGCTAGAGGAGCCTGGGCCCAGTGGCTTCTGGAGGATCCTGGGCCTGGTGGCTGCTGGAAGAGCCTGGGCCTAGTGGCTGCTGCAGGATCCTGGGACTACTGGCTGCTGGAAGAGCCTGGGCCTAGTGGTTGTTGGAGGATCCTGGGCCTAGTGGTTGTTGGAGGATCTTGGGCCTGGTGGCAGCAGGAGGGTCCTGGGCCTGGTGGCTGCTGGAAGAGCCTGGGCCTAGTGGCTGCTGGAGGATCTTGGGCCTGGTGGCTGCTGGAGGATCTTGGGCCTGGTGGCAGCAGGAGGGTCCTGGGCCTGGTGGCTGCTGGAGGATCCTGGGCCTAGTGGCTGCTGGAGGATCTCTGTCAATCTCACCTGGGCCCACAACACCAACGTGCTGGTAAAGAAGGCCTAGCAGCAACTGCATTTCCTCCTTGTCCTTTTAGGAGATATTTTAGAGCTTCTAGTGGTCCTCAAGTATCGCGTGTTTTTCCAGGAATCATTGACAGCACAGTTTTTGAGTGGAGGCAGGTTGTCGCGGTACAAACGATGGTCCTATTTGCTGCTATGCTCCTTCCTGGTTGAACTGAATGTTCTTAGCAGCGTTTTCCTTCGTTTTTGGCTTTTACGTGTGGACGGGATTTTTAAAAAAAATGAAAACAGAAAATCTCAGTTTTCAAAAATACCCGTGTACGTGTGGACGTAGCCTAAAGTGATTGCAATTTTTCCCATTATTCCCATTTACCCTTACATCAGTCTGCAATACAGCCAGTTGACAAGTGACTGTAGGTTCAGACGCCCCAAATGTGTCTTATGTTTCAGTTTGTTTTTTATATTATAACACACTGTTTTGCTCTCTGTGTAAACAAAACATATTATAATTAAATAAATTTGGTAAAAGTAGGAAATAAAACATAAAACTATCTAAAAGAAGAGTATCATATAATCTCGATTCATTCTTCAGTTGAGGGATACAGAAGTTCCACTTCACATCACCTCTGTTTTTTCTAAATTAGTTTATTCTGCTGCAACAATTTACCTCTGAGAGATGTTTACAGCTGTTTGTTTGTTTTGTTTTACAGGTGGTGTTGATCCTGGCCTACAGCACCATTATTGTGCTGGGAGTTCTGGGTAATTCTCTTGTCATCTATGTCATCTATCGCTTCAAGACGCTCCGCACTGTCACCAACTTCTTCATTGCTAATTTGGCTGTTGGTAAGTTTATACATACAGACGCACGCCAGCAGCTTTTTGTTGCTTCTAATATAATACTGTCACTGTGCTCAGAGCAATAAAACACTTTCTGACATGTGTAGGTGGTGGTGTTTGTGTGTTTTTGTCTCCAAGTGCATGTCTTCTTAAGATTGCTGGGAACTTAATCTGTTTGGGAACATGAGCCCATGACAGAAATCATTCAAATTTAAGATTTAAAGATAAGAGTAAGGTTAAAAGTTTGGATTTGGTTGAGTTTATGGTAAAGTTAGGTTTGTGCTATTGTTAAAACAAGGACAGTGTGCCGTTATGGGTGCATGTCTGATGCAGGGGCGTTAACACCTTTCTTATATCACCACTCTGAAGACCGATGAGCGTTGTCAACAGGTTTACTGACATTCAAAAGGGTAAAGGCAAGGCAAGGCAAGGCAAATTTATTTGTATAGCACAATTCAACAACAAGGTGATTCAAAGTGCTTTACAGAGACATTAGAAACAAAGACAAATAAAAAGCATGATTTAAAATTGATTAAAACAAGCAAACAAACTAACTAACAACAAACAAAACAGTATATAGAATCAAAACAGATAAAATCAGAACAGTAGATAAAATCAGTAGTTAAATGTAAGTTTTGAAATTTAAGCTTAAAAGTGTGGATTTGGTACTTTATTCAAATGCAGCTGAGAATAGGTGAGTCTTCATCCTGGATTTAAATAAACTGAGTGTTTCAGCTGATCTGAGGCTTTCTGGGAGTTTGTTCCAGATATAAGGAGCATAAAAGCTGAATGCAGCTTCTCTGTGTCTGGTTCTGACTCTGGGAACTGATAAAAGACCGGATCCAGATGACCTGAGGGATCTGGAAGGTTCATACTGGGTCAGGAGGTCATTGATGTATTTTGGTCCTAAACCATTCAGAGCTTTATAGACCGGCATCAGAACTTTAAAGTCTATCCTCTGACGGACAGGCAGCCAGTGTAAAGACCTCAGAGCTGGACTGATGTGGTCCACTTTTTTGGTCTTAGTGAGGACTCGAGCAGCAGAGTTCTGAATGAGCTGTAGTTGTCTGACTGATTTTTTAGGTAGACCTGTAAAGATGCTGTTACAGTAATCAAGCCTACTAAAGATGAATGCATGGACTAGTGTTTCCAGGTCCTGTTGAGACATCAGATCTTTGATCCTTGAAATATTCTTGAGGTGACAGTAAGCTGATTTTGTTATTGTCTTAATGTGTTTAGGTCTGCATCCATCACTACACCCAAATTTCTCGCCTGGTTTGTGGTTTTTAGGTGTATAGATTGAAGTTCTCTGGTGACCTGTAATCGTTTTTCTTTGGCACCAAAGACTATTACCTCAGTTTTGTTTTTGTTTAGCTGGAGAAAATTGTGGCACATCTAGTCATTAATTTCCTCAATGCATTTACCAAGAGCCTGTACAGGGCCTCGGTCTCCTGGTGACATTGTGATATAAAACTAAAAGCAAGACAAAAAATACAGTCATGACATACATATGTGCAGCATAATATGCATTTTTATACCACCTTGCTACTACATAGCATATGTCATGTAAACTTTTTAAACTACTACTGATGCTATCCCAGATGACCTCCAAAATCACAGGTAACTAGCTTAACAAAAGATATAGCTTTACAGCCAAATACTGCATTAGCGGGCAACATATTGTACAAAAAGTTGCAACTTATACTTTAAGTACATACCGGTGATACAACCATAAACAGAAGATGTGGACAGTATTTCTTCCAACAGGACACCATAAACTGTGTGCCGATATGTTTCCCTTCTTCTTTCTCACTTGCTTTGCTTGACTGAGCGGATTACTTGGAGCAGCCACAGAGGGCGCTGTAAACACATAATAAATAACAACTGACTGAGAATGATATTTTAGTGATACAACATTTTACAACTTTTAGTGATACAGAACAGACAGCTTCATGTTAAGGATTCCTCAGGATGACAAGTCTTCAAGAATTGTGCATTTATACAATTTATGCAATTGCAATTTATATAAGCACAGAGATAAGTCCATTTTTAGAGCCCTAAGAAGATGATTACCCTTTCCTAACCTTCATTAGTGCTGTTTTGGTGCTTATTTACAATATTATTAGGAAGCACTGAAATCATTTTCATTGCTATGCAGATAATACCCAGTTTGATTTATTAATGAATGTAGATGATACAAATTATGTTCTTAAAATATAGGCATGTCTTCAAGACATCAAGACCTGGATGACCTCAAAGTTCCTACTTCTAAATTTAGACAAAACTGAGGTTATGGCACTCAGTTCTAAAAGTGTGAGAAACATGGTGTCTAAGCAGATAGTTACTTACTGGGTAATATCAACTTGGAGTCATTTTTAACAGGATTTGTCCTTCAGTGTTCACATTAAGCAAATATGTAGGACTGCGTTCATTCATTTGCTTAATATTGCTAAAGTCTCAGAACAGCCTTCAGCTGATCCAGAATATTTCAGCAAGAGAGCAAAATGAGATTGCAAAAGGAGACTTTTCTCTAAAATTGGCTTCTCTTCATTGGTTATTATTCAATAAGGTATTGAATAATCAGGCTCTGCCATATCTTAAAGACCTTATATCAGCCCATTATACTAACAGAGCACTTTACTCTCAGACTGCATGTTGTGGTTTTGAATAGTGGAGAACTGGAGATCAAGCATTCAGCCATCTCTAATAAATAACCTCCCAGTTTGAATTTGAGAGACTGTCACTCTCTCTACTCTTGACACTAGGTTTAAAACTTTCTTTTTCTTGAAGGTTGCAGTTGGCAAACTTTATCCTTGCTAAATCATTAGCAGTTATTATACTCTGGTTCTTGCTCCCATAGTGACTCTTTTGTCCTGTGTCTCTCTGCTTTCTTCTCTTTCCAGTCAGTACCAAGGAGTTGAGGCAGATGGCTGCCCCTCCCTGAGCCTGGTTCTGCTGGAGGTTTGAAAGTAAATTTAGAGAGTATAATAGAACCAGGTTTGGCCCCTTGTAGAAAAAATAGAAAGCCAATACATATCCTGAAGTGGAGATGTGTGGTATCAAGGCTTTCCAATCTTAATGCTTCCCACAGGAGGGATTTATTTGATTTGGATTTTTGAAACTATTTCCGAATGTTTTCTGCCATTTTCATTGCTTGTTCTGTTCTTTCTCCATTGTAAGTTTTACACATCCAGATGCTCGTTCCAGTGTTAAAAGGTTGTGCCACAGACATTATGAGCCATTTTGCCTGAAAACCCCTCTTTGGATTGTTTCATCACGTTAATAATGTTAGCGTTACCCATCTGGTGATCTGAATGATAAAAGTTAACTTAATGGAGACTGCCCTTGGTAATATTCCTTTTAATCCCTGGTGGTTTTGTGGATTTTCATCTTTAGATAGTGATCAATGTTTACATGCCACAAGCTCACATATTTGAAGCCTGCTAGCAAGAGAAATGGCAGATTGAGAGTGTGGTAGAAAGAGGAAAAGTTCCCAAGATGTTTCCCTGGAGAGGTTTATTCACTTCTGTTGCACTATCTAGTCATTCTACACTAGTGCCAACACTGAGTTCATCATTATTAGATCAATGAAATTGCATTATGAGGGCTAGATTCATGGGGATTGGTTAAATGAGTCCCAAAATGAAATTCAACCACTGAGAATGGTATGTCAACTTGATGTCAAGCGTAACAGGTAAACAGAGGTGGTCTTCTAATGTCAAAGTTGTAATCTTGCAATGAGTTTGATAGACTTCTTTGCATGTAAATGGAAAATGCAACTTAACCTTTTAAAGCCAAGTGTATCATATTTGATATGTGAGTTATGGTGAGTTTTTGAGACTTCTACATGATCAGTAAAGACTACCGCCCTCTTGTTTGTTTGTTTTTTTAATTTCATTGTGAGGTTCACTATACACTCCAACTTTTCCAAATGTTTGAATTTTCTGGTAATTATTTCAGGCTTCATGCTTTAAAGGCATAAAGAGCCAAAGCATCTGTTGCAAATCAGTACAAATAAGATAATTTTCCCCCAGAAAGCTCCAGAGAGACTAGACTTTTTAAATCTCCAAATAATAAGAATCACCAATTACAGGGGTTAACCAAAAAAAAAAAAAATCCAAAACATCACGACAGTCAACACAACTTGTACAACAAATACCAGAAAGGTACCGAAAATCTAATTCCTGGCTTGTTCTATGCACATATCTTTTTATAAAAAGTACCCCAGCCTAGATGTGATTCATATCATCATAGTCACTCATGCCCTGTTGATGGTGGTAGCGTCATCCTGGTAGAGACCACTCCCATTACCATAGAAATCTTTCATCATAAGATTAAGGTGTTCTCCCTGAACAGATTTCTGGGGCGAGTGAACCCAAACAACAGCAGCAAAATGCTGCCTGCAGCATAACACAGTCACCGTTTCTTCAATGTAAGGGTCAAAAGTTCAGCTTATTCCTTTAATTTCTAACCCGTCTGTATATGTGTATGTGTAAGCTGTCAGTAAGGATGACTCAAACATCTGCCGCTGTGTGCTAGATCTTAGTGATGTCTCAAATTTGTTGGGTGGTTCGAGTGGGAGAGGCCAGCGGATGCAGAGATGAACTCAGACATTTGTTGTTTTTGTGACACGCAGACATTTTAAATGGAGGAATCAGAGTTTTCTTAACCAATATGTGAAGAGTGTCTGTGTGAACACATAAATAAGGATTTTATACAGAGGACAGAAAAGTGACATCTAAAGAGTTCAAAAGAATTTCAAGAGATGCACAAATCCTATTTTGCCATTTTCCTTTTTATTTCATGTATGATGACCCAATTCATAATAATAATTCTTTATTTAAAAGGGACAGTACAGATTAACATCGTCCAAGTATAAAACATAAAATTGATGTACTGCACATAAGTTTATAGGTATTGCTAGTTTCCAACCATTGTCTCTTGTTGGGCTTACATTCACAATACACGGAGTTAAAACATACATTTTCATGAACCCAAAATAAACC